AATGGAGAATTGTTTTGATCCGTACTGTAGAGCAAGTCGGATTTGTCTGCCTTATTACCTAATCCTCCATCCTTAGAAATAGTGTTAGCAAGTTTGAACCCGGGTGACTGTGAAGGGGAGGAAGGCTGGGATTTAAGATTATTGATTATTGCGTTGTTGGATAGATTGCCCTTTTTAAACGTCTCCAAAGTAATGGCATCTCTATCTTGACGTCGATCATAAACTTTTTTGGCGATAGGCTTGCCATTACTATCCACTATAACAAGTTCTCGAGTAAAAGAATTGTTATTTGGTTTTTTCTTATAACCTCTACGACCGGACATTATAGATTTCCGTATTCTCCTATACATAGTGTCATAAGCCATTGACATCCTTCTCGGGTTAAACCTTCCCCCCGTTTCAACAAATGGGACGTTGGTGCCATTATGCTTATTATTCATAACTTTCCTGATATGCATATATTGTTGAAACAACCTCTTAAATATGGAGGAATACGTAAAAGCAAGCGTTAAAAAGGTAGGCATAATTATCAAAGCTCCCACCGTCAATGAATACGCTGTCATAAGTCTCCAATCTAAAACGCAAAGATATGAGTCCTTGTTGAAGCGAGACCACTTATAGCCATATAAATGGGGGGAAGTTATGAGAGCGGCCGTCAACCAACTAAAAGCTATCCAACATTTATAACGTGTTTTTCTAGACCCGCTATTTTCATATTTGTAAGGCTTTCTCAAGGCCAAATATCTGACATTTTTATTTGTTTATTTTTTAAATAAATATAATTTATTAACTAATGAAAACAAAAAAAATTTTTTTAAGTTCCCCATATGAAATAGTATTAAAAAATCCTCTCCAATGAGCCTACATTTTAGCAGGCAATTAAAATCGCGGAATTTTATGCTATTTATAATTGCGCAATTAATTTGGTAAATCATTATTATTTCGCAAAAATCCCATTTTCGCGAGATTTTATAATCGCTTACCAGAACCTAATTATGAAATTTTATCATAAATTTTAATAGTAGAGTAGGATTTATTATAATATTAAATATGTAATTTTCATGCCATAAATTGCCAATGTAGCTTTGTAAATATTCTAATAATACTATAGAGATATTTATTTATTCGATTAAATATTAAATTAAAATGAGAAGAGATAAAACCTATCGGCACCGATCCACATAAAATGGCACCATACGACTATCCATATCACGACTTGCAAATACGAGGTGACTTTACAAGCTAAATTACTGTATACCCAGGACCCGCTGTAAGCCGGATAAATAGATAGCGGTGATACGAAAAGACCCATCATTAAATCTGCCACGGCAATTGACAAGTTATAATAGCTATAAAGCTCTAAATTGAGGGAATTTCGGTATTTAGTTAGCACCCAGATAACTGTTGTATTGAAAACCACTATCAAAATTGTCAGCAAAACTATAAATACGCATTTTGCTACGAGGTATGGATTATGAACATCCTCGGGGTTCGGGTAATTGGAGGAATTTTGAAGCCTCGTGGGATCAATGAGAGATATCTCATCGACTAAATTTTTTAGATGATAAATATTCGCTGAAGGATTTGTCGTGTTGTAAGAGCCAAAAGTGGAGAAAAATCCTTCGGTAAACTGTTCGTCTTCCGGGAAATCGAAAAATACATTAAACCTTTTGCTCATTTGTTTCTAAAAAGAAAATTAAATTTGTTAACATATCAATATATATTGTTAAAATAGAGGACTCTGAATACATACTAACAAATTTCCCTAAAATAAAAAATCCCAAGACTCTAAAAGATTGGAGAGGCATATCGTTAAACTCGGATGTGCAATATTTTTACTCATATTAAAAGCAACAGATTAAAACCCTATATCAAACCATACTATGAGGATTCCCTCATATCTTATAGGAAAGGGCAAAACGCTGTCGAAGCAATAAATGCCTTAAAAATGCTACTAGAAAAAGTTTTAACATGCAAGAGTCAACTTTTCATTGCGGTTCTAGATTCTAAAAAAGCTTTAGGTTTGATTATTCAAAACAAGTTGTGGAAGTCCTTGGAGGTGATATGGACCTATAGTTATTTGCTTAAACTAATAACTAATATTTTACAAAATCACTCAATTCAAATCTGTGCTGGCTTAATATATCCTGTAATTCCGATCAAGATCCGATTAAAACAAGGATGTGTACTCTCGCCGATATTGTTTATCATTATAAATTGCAAATAATAAAGGTCAAATAACATTCTAGCCTTCGCAAATTCTGTACATTATGGCAAACTCTATGTTTATTTTACAATATCAAGTAGACATAATAGTTACAGAAGCTCCGGAGTTTGGCCTTACTCAAAACATTGATAAAACAAAGGTGATGACAGCCTTCCACTCTCTATCTTATAATAACCCATCTATAAATAATGTGATTATCGAGGAAGCTATCGTATACAATAAATTAAGCTCCGACACCTTACTAAAACTTTTAATTCATAATACATCCAATTTGGCTCTTTGGGGAAAAATCTAAAACTCTCTCTATATATCAAATGAGAATTAATAAGTCACCTCCTAAGGCAATCTCCGCACAATTTAATTTCTCTACGCTCTTGATAAACTGCAAGCTACCGGCATTGCTTTAAAGCCTTTCTTCCTATATAAAAATAAATAGTTTAGGAAGATAACTGATAACCAAAACCTTAAAAAATATGGGGTAAACTTGACAAATTACGAGAATTTAGAAAGATTCTACTTTTGATAACGATTTAACTAACACCTTGCTAATATTTAACTACGGTAAAATTTTAGGAACTTTATTAGTTTCTCTATAATATCTGTTTAAATCTCACTTCATATATAATCCTAACCCTCATTATCATTGTAATAATTTAAATAATATATAACCCAGATTTGAATTAAATTCACTGGCCCCAACAACGGGTGGAGGGGGGTCCGAAGCAACTGTTTCTAAAAATTTGATTGGGGGTACTTTTTTAAAAAAAACATTTTTTAAAAAAATTTAATTCTTTTATTGTTTTACTACACCAATCCATAACCAAGTGATTTCTGGTTTATGATATCAGACTCGACCGCGTGATTCCGTTAATACATATTAAATTAAATAAGTGGAAGGGGGGGGGGTCTTATTATCACATTTTAATAAAAATTAGGTTGTTATATAAAATTATTTTTCCAATTTCAAAATATGCCCAAAAATATTAATAAAAAAAAATACAAATGCTTAATTAATAATTGCACATGGCATAATATAAGAGATAAAATGGACAGACCACATCAGAAAAAGACATGATTGGCTTAAAGAAAAGCTTTGAAAGTAGCTTTTAAGAATATTTATCAAAATTAGACGAATAGCAAAGAAATTCTTCAATTAATATTTAATTGTTTATACTTTTATAAAGGGTAGTAAAATGCAATTCAAGAAAAAAGAAGTAAAAATTGGGAATTCAATGCTGTTTGTATAATAAATATTTTTATTAAAATAATTATTTTTTAAAAGTGTACTAATAACGAAAATGTGTTAGAAGAAAATATAATATCTAACTCTTATTTTTGAAATTTATGATGGGTGTCAAAAAGTAATTAATAATTATTTCGAAAGGGGCGGGGGTACTTTTTAGGGGGGTATTCTGCTTCCATCACTCAGAAAGTGTAGAAGTAACTCATTAAATTTAAATATGATCCTTCTTTATTTATTGATATGTATTCAGTTTTATTATAGTTATATTAGTGAAAGTAAAGTGTATTAATTTATTTATATTTATACTTACTTTATAAATAGAATATGTAATCATACTCCATTACCTAGTAAGATAATATATTGGGAATCTTTTCGTTTTTCTTTTCAGACTTTTTAATCATCTGCTATTTCCTATACTTTTACAACAACTAATAACATGGTCTGGTTTCTAGTTCCTACATTTTTACATAATTTACATGAGTTACAAGGTTTATTGGTATCCTTGAATAAAAAACCGGCATAATTATACGAAGGATGGGCCTCTGTATAATTCATGCTCGCTCACACTTGGATAGGTCAGACCAACGTGCTAAGATAAGTTAATAATAACAGCTCCGATTTTAGCCGTTTCTGCCGATTACAAAAACAACGAAACCGAATTTTTAGACGTAAAATATCCTCATCCTCGGCATTATATGCTGGTTATATACATTTAATAATTTATATTAGAGATCTGCAAAAGTAGGTGGTCCTTACCAGGCCCGGCCCGGATGGGCTTCGGGCCTAATATTTTTTAAGAAAATTCGGGCCGGGTCGGGTCGGGCCTTAGAAATTTTTTTAAAATATATCTAAATTTATCAATTTTATGTTGAATTTTTTATGTAAAAAATATGTGATTTTATTTATAGAAAGTAGACGCCAAATAACATATATCGTTTATTTTGAGTAATTATAAAAATTGAAAAACTTTATAAAATAAATTTCGGGCCGGGCCGGGCTTGAAAAATTAGGCGCGATGTATATCACTAATTTATATCACCATTTTTTAATGCATAGATTATAATTTATATTTGATAAATTTATAGATTATTTAAGTATTAATATTAATTGTAAATATTTTAGTAATAAATATATACGACATTTTAAATATTCAACAACTTCAGGAATAATTTCTTGAATTTAATTTTTTCTAATCCCCCCCCCCTTACCTAATCAGATTCCTGGCTACGCGCCTGTATATTAATCATTTGCCCGATTTTCCCAGTTTTTCGCTATATCAAGTTTAATTATAATGAGAAAGTAACAAAATATTACCTTTAGTAACTAAAAAAACAGTTATAGAGTATAATTAAAATTGATTTGCCCCTTTAAAAAGTAAAATATATAAAAAATTAGTATAATCTTGTAAAAAAAATATGAAATAAGTAATTAGTTTTTTAAAAACCAGAGGATTGATTACTAAGAAAATATTTATATGAAATGTCTTTTTTTTTTAAAAATAAATAAATATATTATTTTAATTTATTTTACCTTGTAATCATTAATTTATTAAGAATAGATTTTGTTCATTTGCATCTTTCCATAAATTTACTGAATTTCACGAGATACCCGAAATTTAACATCTAATTTTTTTTAAAAAAATTTGTTTATTTTCCAAATTATTTAATCACACTTAATTATATTATTTATTAAAGTTTGATAAAAAGAAGATAAAACATAAAAAGTAAAAAAAAATAAAAGCAATTATTTTATTCTCTTTAAAATTAATTTTATAATATAATAGATTTACTTTTTTTTCATTTTTCAAAAAAATATCGATTTCTTTGCCTTTTTTTACATATTAATCATGAAACCCTGTCTATATTGAGCGTTTAAAACCTATAAATCCAATCAATATTTTTTCTCCCGGATTTGGATCAAATTTAATGATAATAAACTTTTTTTTTAAAATCGTTTTTTTAAATTTTTTTAAAGTTTTATTTTGGAATTCAGTGTTTTTATTTAAGAAAAGGAAATGGATGCTCTGATTTTTTTTTTAATGAGCAAGAAATAACGCATTGCCAAATTTGTCAGAGATTCAAATATTATTTTTAATCGATAAATCGCTTTTGTATATCGCAAAAAAATGGAATGGGATGGGGATTGGTTTGGTATTATCTATTTATAAAGGCACATTCTTTCTAAGGTCTTCATGGAAATTGAAGGTAGGTAAGTGTGCCGTTACAACAGCTGATTTATTTAAATTTCTGTTCTCCTATTTATAATAAAATGACTTGTCACAAGGTTCTTAGATTTTTTTGAAAAAATAAACAAGTTATATTTCAATAGGCACTTACACGCATTTCAAAGTGAGCCTAATTATATTTTTTGGCTAAATTTTAAAAAATCTTTTTGACATTTTAAAACTAAAAGGAGACAAGCATATTGTGTTCCAGTAGCGTAGCTACTGGGGGGGGGGTCCATAAGATATATAATTTTAGTGTTTGTATGTATTATACATTGGCAGCGAATTCGCGCTAACTGTGAATGCAGAAAGACCCTTAGTTTAGAATTTTTTTAAAATTATTTACTTTTTAAGCTTTCCCACTTCTACCGAAATAAATCAATTTTTGCTTAGATTTTAAATCTAGGATTGGCGTCGGCACTTATTATATAAAAAATGAATTTGTTCTTAATATTCAGTATATTTTTTTTTAAATAGAAGATCACATTGTAATAATGCATAATATAGGATTATATTATCTAAACATATTTATTGTGGATACATAAGAATATAATACTGAAGAATTCATTTATCAAAAAAGAAGTGTATATAGAACACTATAATATTCAGCCGACAAATTTCTTTTACCTTGAACTTGTATTCCAAAATTTAGAGATTGTGTGTGATAAAGACAGAAAAAAATTAACTTGCTTTTTAAAATTATTTTATATATATTTTTGAAAAAAGCGAACATAATTTTCATATTTCAAAAAAAAAAGGAGAAGAATAAATCAATTGATAATTGATTAATAAACAAGGTCAGTCAGAATTATCGTTATTTAACAAGCATAAGTTAATAATATTATTTTTTTTTCCTAGCTAATTTTATATAAATAATTTTGATTTTTCGCCAAATATAAATTTCTCTTTTATTAAATAGCTTGAAATTTTAATGAATTGATCATATGGAAATTTATTTAAGCGCAGGATTAGTAATCTATAAAAATAATAGAGCTCATTAAATTGAGAGAGAGAGAGAAATAAATTACTAAATAAACTCATCCATATTCTAAAAGATATATAATCTTTTCCTTATTATTAAATTTACTAGTTATAAGAGTGATGCCATTTTTAACCTATAATCTTTGCATAATAAAAAAAACCCATTATATATATATATTCTTTGTAAACAGGGGCGGATTGGGAGGCTAAGGGGCCCATGGGGCATTCCTAAAAGAGGCCCCTGGAAGCTTTGCTACCCAAACCCCTAATACGGGCTTACGGTCCGCTTTTACTCAGCCTGTTACCGGGAATTATATGATTTTATTTATCTACTCCACTATATTAACATTTAAAAGAATTATTATCTTTTTAATAGTTATGTATGATCCATTTAAAAGAATTACTCGTTCTTTGAGTTTGCATACATTATTCTTCGTGTTAATTTATAAACAAGTGTTCTTCATATTATTTCATTTTCATTTACAGATGATTTAATGAAACATATTGACCATTAAATTAAAACCCATCCATATAAAATTATTTTTTTGCAAAAATAATTAAAATACAGACAAAGCTTTATTGAAGATTCTTTTATTACTCCTTTTGTTATTTTAATTATTTTAGCAAACAAAATATTTTTATTTGGATGGGTTTTGATTTAATCGTCAACATGTTTCATTAAATCATCACAACACTATATGATATTTTTAAAAAAGATATAAAATAAGTATTTAGTTGTTAATGCAATGGTGTGATTATAATAAGCTTGATTCAATAATAATATATCGTTGAGCAGGGCTCGAAACCGATAGCATTTGAATAAATTTCGCATCTGCTGTAAAAGATTTGGCCTTAAAATATTAGAGCATTTGAGTGAGACGAGAATAGTCTTCTTTTTCTATTGGTGAATCTATAATATCTAAAAATATTTATGTTGTAAATATTTACCTCTGGTTCGGTTTTTAAAATATACTTGCATTTGGCAGTCCATCATATATAAAAAAATCGCATATTCTCAAATTCGGAAAGAAAAGAATTAGAATGATTATGGTTTATCACTGTATGTATGTCCTATTTCACCTATCAGTTATAGATTCCAATATATTAAAATTTCTAAACGATATAAAATGAATACTATAAGAAACCATTATACGTTTACTTCTAAATCTGGTTTTGGAAAGAAAGGAATTTACTGAACCTAAGGTTAAATTTCCCCCAAAAGTTGGTAAAACAATTTTCTCATTAATTGTGAACATTTGCGCAAATAATCAAGAATCAAGCATCACTTATAGAATGTTGATTTTTCTAAAATCTTTCCGTAAAACAAGTTACTATCTGATCGATGATATCATGAAATATTTCAACTCTGTAAATTGAAAGTGGTCATTTGGATTATCTGAACATTCCTCAAAATACATCTTCATTTTAGAGTAATTCTACGCTGCGATATTTCATATCCATGCACGGATCATTAAATCGGCAAATTTTTATTGATAGATAATGTCATATTTCTAGTTTTCACATGTATTAAGAGGAAATTTAAAGAAATTAAAGAAGATTTAGAATCTTCAACCATTTTCCTGGCAGTTAAAATGTCTAAGTTTCTTGTTTATGAATATCTTGATAGAGGCCCAATTATTTCTAAATCCTTCAATGAAATTTGTGCCGTTAGCTACTAAGAATTTTATATTTAATGATCTATATCAGATAAAATGTATGTTCGAATGAAAACTCAATAAATTTTAAGTAAAAAGATTAATGGATAAATAATAATATATAAATCTCCCTACTCCAGCACAGGAAAATCCTTAAACATTAGCATTGGGTTATATTATATGAATGTTAGAATTCATTTTAGTTATGGAGAGGAAGTTATAAATGTTCTTAATACTTAATGAGGGCTAGACCAGGTAATTTTTATCATTATATATATACTTTTAAATAATTATTTTTACAGGGTATGGTTTTGTTAGTATTGTTTAATATCTTCATTTCGGTCAATTCCCATCAAATATTTATATACATAAAATAATAATAATATTCTATTTTCTATATATAAACTATAAATATGGCATGTATATGTTAGCGACTATGTGTTTTTTCCGGCAATATATTATTTTTATAACTTTATATCATTTTTTAAGCGCATTTTTAAAATTTAAAAATCTGATTGCTCTGGAAATGCATTCCAGCATATTTAGAATATTTATTTTATGAGTTGTAGTATCGTTAACTTTTGAGTTATTTTTAATTTATACATGAAAAATTTATAAAAACTAATATAATATAAATTATATTAATTTTAAAGTTCATGCATAAGTGTATAAATTTTACTATTTAAAAAAAAAAAATTTCTTCCTTAGGTCCCAAAATTTTTTCCGAAAGACCTAATAATTTTTTAAAATCTCGAAGACACGTGGATTTTCCCACTAGACTTATTGGGCAGTCTGACCCTGTCTGTACAAAGTCAAGGAAAGAAAGATAGGCTAAAAAGAATATGTAATAGACAATATAATTTTAGGATTGTGTTTCGCTAATATTTTCTACAGTAATAACTATTTTTTTAAAAAAAATATATAGTTAATTTGTATGTCATCTAATCACGCAAATCAAATTAATCCTGGCTTATCTACTATCTAAAAAAATAACGAATTTATATTAACAATAAATTTGATCTATATTATCTTAATCTCCGAAAATTCGTTGACAAAAATATCGATAAAAAAAAACAATATAACAAAAGGAAACTTATTTATTTTAATTGTCAATAACAAAAAAATAATAAATAATCGTGCTTTTATAAAAATTGGACAGAGAGTTATAACAAACCCGCAGATCCTATTGAACCAAGCTCGAGGCGTATATTCTCACTTCAGATTGTAAAATGATCTTTAAAAGTCCGGGATGAGCTGAGCTAAAAAAAAAATCCTTCAAGAAAGTTAGCCGTGCCTAAAATTTTTTGTTTTTAGAAAAATTAAATTATATATATAAATTAATAAATTTGGAAAATCATTATAAAAATCGATCATTTAATATTCATTTACTGCTCATTTTTTTAAAAATTTTCACTTGAAACAGAATTTACAAAATATAGCCAAAATGATTTAAAGAGATGAAATTCTTAAATTTGATCCCTGCAGGTGTTAGAACAATATAAAGCTATTTCGCTCCTTTTATGTTGCGATCCATGAGAAAAGTTTTGTTGTTTAATCTATAGGAATTTTTAGTGATAGAAAAAAATATATAGGAAGATTTGACGCATGATGAATTTATGGGGGTGTTTGACGAAACTAGATATGGTTCGATTCCATAGGTTTCCTATACCCGATTGGCCTTTATCATCGTTCTTTTATTTTTAACCATGAGACCTATTCCATCCAAATAAAAAGTCCAATCTCAAAAATGAGCCAAAAATATTTTTTTTAAAAGCATTCTAAATCAATTGACAAAGCAATTCATTATTGCAAAACAAAAGTGCTACATGCAATGCGGTCTAGAAATACCCACCTTTTTGACAGATTATTTTAGT